TCTCTCTCTGTCAAACTGTGCTTCCTTTGGTGTTTTGACAATGTTCCTCCCCATAAACCTGCTGCAGGTCAAACTTCATCTTAGAATTTGCTTCTCTGGGAACACAATCTGTGATGTCGTTGAATGCAACTGTCCTGTGGGTACATTATGCTTATGCGTAGGCATTGCAATGGGCTGAATTATGCCCCTTCAAATTCATATGTAGAAGTCAGATCCCCTAGTACTTCATGAATGTGACTGTCCGTGGAGATAGGGTCTTTAAGGAAGTAATTAAGTTACCACGAGGTCATGAGGCTGTGTCTTAACTCACTAGGACGAGTGTCCTCATAAAACGAGCAGTTTAGGACACAGACACATACAGAGGGAAGACCATGTGAGGGCACAGGGAGAAGATGATCATCTATAAGCCAAGGAGAGAGAGGCCTCAGGAGAAACCAGCCCTGCCACTACCTTAATATGGAACATATAGCCTCCAGAATGGTGAGATAATACATTTCTTTTGTCTAAGCCATCCAGTCTGTGGTACTTTTTTTATTGGCAGCCCAAGCAAACAAATATGGCAGATTTAGAGGTACTTCATTGTTTCAATCCCTGTTTTTCATCTTTATGCTTGAGGAACGACTGAGAGACCTGAACACACTAAGTTGTCTTTCTGGTGTAATGAAGTAGGATGATAATTCTGATTAGGTAGTGTTTCCTTACTTCCTAAAGTATGTCAGAATAACCGTATTTTTAAAGGCATGATAAAAGAATACCGCTATTCAGTGTATCTCCCATTTTAGGACAGTTACTTCAAACCCGTGGCAGTTTTAAATACACATTACAGATAACTACTTCGGACCTGCACTGAACTTGTGTTTAGTAGAAAAAAAGGACAGAATTTTCAAATCCAGTGAGTCAGCACTCCTTGGCCCTCTGTGAAGCAAGAGTTCAGTTAGGCTCTTTTTCTTTAGATAAACCATGCTATCCCCAACCACCAGCTTCCTGCCTTAATATAAAGAAAGGGTAAGGGTAAGAACAGGAAAGAAAAAGACTCACAGTTTAAAGAGTTACTGTTTTGTTTGGTTTTCAGAACCAGCCCCTTTATCATGCTCAGCTTTTCATTGGTTGGTAAACCTTTAACTACCAGCTCTCTGAAAGCTAAACAAGACCAAACAGCCCAGCAAAGGAATGATGCAGGTCTCTCAGCCACTCTGCAGTCCCGGGCTAGTCCTCCAGGTGTGGGGGAGACCTCCCCACCGTCTCAGTTAGTATTTGAACAGTCACACCAGAGCTTGCCTTTATTTGCTGAGGTTTTTTTTTTTTTTGTGAAGGGCTTACTGTTAAGGAAAAGAGAATTTCAATTACACTGAGTTCACAGGCATCCTTAAACATGAAGCAGAAGACAAAGATGACGAAAAAGTTCACATTTAAGCCAAGCGTCCTTTCTTGCCACTTAGGGTATTTCTGAGATTTTCTCTTAGAGCCTGTCATGTAGCTTTAGCTTTACGGTGTCTGCCTTTGCTGTTGTATTTATTCTCAGTCATTTGGGGCACATATATCATTATAATCAAACCGGAAATAGAGCTTCTTGTCACTTTCAGAATAGAAAATAGGGTCTTTTAACTCACCACCTCTTCCCTCTTTCCATAACGGCAGTCTATACAGAGTCAATATATTTTTTCAGAAAAAGTTATTCATTCCATTTTTTCTGAACAATAATTAAACGTTACGATAAAACAAAGAAGACTTGTGAATTTATTTAATTATTTATTTTCATAAAGAATTCTATTATTTAATTTTATTTATTTACTTATTTATTTTAATTTGACCAGAGAGGGATGGAATGAGAGAGAGAGAGAAAAAGGGAAAGTGAAAAAGCAAGCTGCCAGGTCGGGGACTCGAACTGGTCGGCCATGTGGGAGTCCAGCGCCCTTAACCACCACCTGCTGGCCCCAAGGACTTGTGTATTTAGCTCAGGCTTCCTTAAAGAATTGTTCTGGCCATGCCCACACTTAATGGTACCTTTGTTGTTGCTACTGGATCCAGAAAAGCTTAAGAAGGTCCAGGAGCGCAATCAAAGTTAGCCTGACCCAGATTCCCAAAGCTGCTCTCACCAGACTTTCTTTACCCTGCTTTTCTCATCTTCCCCTTCGTGATTCCTTTTAGCTGCACTGACTTCAATTCACAGAGGCTGTAGAACTCATGTTGTCCTTGGAAGCCTCTAGAGAAGGCTTAGTATGGACCAAACTCGATTCTAAGTGATTTACCTATCTAATTATCACAACCATCTCATATGTAGGTGCTATTCTCTTCCCCATTTTGTTTTATTTTTAATGGCCAGAGAGCATGTGCACTCACCAGAGAGAGGAAGTGGGAGAGGGAAAAAGCAGCCCCCAATGAAGTAGGGTCATGCAGCAACCCCTTTTCCTCCATTTCTCCGTCCTGTTGGGACTGGGGGCATGCACACACGCCTGGTATATTTTTTAAGCTGCTAGGGTTGGGATTCCGATCATGGCCAGCCATGCAAAGTTCAGCTTCCTTAACCACTAGGCTACGAGGCTGGCCCTTTGCCATTCTATAGATGAAGATACAGGGAAGTGAAATAACTTGTTCAAGGTCCTACTACTTGTTAGTAGCAGGGTTGGTATTTGAATCAGGCAGTATGGGTTCAGGCCCATGTTTATAACCAGCATATTGCCCCCTCCACCCCCACAAAAGCAGTGGATATCTACCATTAGAAAGCATTAAGACTCAGAATCAATGCACTTTTTTTATTATGTGATAATAATAATTTCTAAATATTTCCACTCTATGTAGTTTAGTGTGAAGTGTGTGTGTGTGTGTGTGTGGGGGGGATGTTAAAACAAAATTCAATGATGGGGAAAAATCACTCAAAAGTCATGGAATGAAGGACCTCAAAGGATGTTTGACTTGGAAAGATTATTCTAAAGCAAATTGAAGATTTCACCAAGTGGTGGAATTGTCTGTTTTTTTAGATCTAGAATATCTACAACTGAGAATCAGCATCTATTGGGAATAATGCAGTGCTGATATTCATTGCAGAGACTCAAATGGAATGAAATATTTACTTGCGGGGCTGGCAGGTGGTGTGGTGGTTAAGGGTGCTGGAGTCCCACATGGCTGATAGTGGTTCGAGTCCCAGATCTGGTGGCTTGCTTTCTCACTCCCTTTCCCCCCTCCCCAACCCTGTCCCTCTCTGGTCAAATTAAAATAAATAAATAAATAAAGTTAAATAAAATAATTCTTTTTTTCATTGGAGAATGTTCTCTCTCTCTCTCAGCTTAGTAAAACTGGCTGAGTAGATCTAAAAAAATGAGAAGAGACCATTTGTATCTCGCTAGTTATAAAAAAATTAGTACTCATGTGGAATAGCTTGGGAGTCACAAATAAATACAATTTGTTCCAGTTTGTATTTAGCAACTCGGTTTGGTTGAAGCCTTAAAGTTGGCCAGTTCTGTGACAGATTTTTGTCATAAAATTCTAGAGGTTATTACTTTACCTTTAAACCTCACAGTAATATGACAAACTTGCTTTTAACAACTTCTGAGTAAGTCTTTTTACTAGGTATCAAATGTTTAAAGAAAATATTTGTCTTTATATTTTACTTGTAACCTTTCTCTTGCAAAAGAAATTGGATCCTGTCTGGTTTGGCCTGGCTTTCCAGGGCTTTTTAAAATTTTTTTTTGTAGTTGATGGTTGGTTCTCTGTAAGACATAGGTAACAGATTATTGATCTCATAAGAGAAATAGCCTTTTTGCTTTCACTATGAGCTACTTTATATGCATTTTCTCATTTAATCTCCTAAACAATCCTCTCACCATTTTATAGTTTCTTTGTTTTTGTTTTCATTTTTTTAATTTGGGGGCAGGTGGTGTGGGGTTAAGGTTCTGGACTCCCACATGGCCGACTGCGGTTCAAGTCCTGGACCTGATGGTTTGCTTTCTCACTTTCCCTCTCTGTCTTTCTCTGGTCAAGTCAAAAATATTAGGTTTTTGGGAAAGTCATGATGTATATTTCTTTGTTTTTCTATGTAAAAAAACGCATCATGACTTTCCTGAAAACCTAATAATAATGATATGAAATAAAATAATTCTTTAAGAAAAAGTTTGTTTCTTCCACAAGAGAGGTAATGACTGAAAGAGACAGACAGAGACAGAGCGAGATACCCACCCCCAAAAAAGTCTTCATGCCATGATTTGTCTTTAGACTGAGCTGGCCCAGATCATAGGCGTGTGCCCAGTATGCCCAGGGAGGTTCTAGGGAGCAAATCTAGGGCCTTCCCCATATAAATCCAGGTGTGTTACCTCCATGCCATAACCTGGCCCTATCACCATTTTATAAATGTGGAAACAGATTTAAAGGGTCAAGTAAGTGATTCACAGACACCTCTACTACTAAGCCTAACAGCAAAGAGATCAATCTAGATCTTCCCTAACTGCTAATGCCACCATGCCTGACTCTCTTCCAAGTCAATTAATAGGTGCAATCACATACCATCTTTTCTAGTTAATTCTCACAAAACCTTTAGGAAGCCTTGTTTAGATAGGATAATTGACCATTTTAACCTTAACCTCCACCATGTCGATTTTCTTGTAGAGTGGCTGAAGGGAAGTAAGGCGATTTGAAGGTGATTGGCAGACAGAGAAAGGAAGCACTGAGAAACTGGTCACTCCCTCACCTGGGTAACCAGCTTCTGACCTGCAGACTTGCTCAGGTATCAGCTCTAGAAAGAGGGATATTCCACTAGTGTCTCAGAAGACTGCTTCTCCAGAGGTTTCTAAATGAAACGAGATTCTCTATAGCTATCAGTGTATCCATGTCAAAAAATACACTAAAAAGAGCAAAATCTGGCAGCTAAAATGAACATTTTTTTCATGTATTAGTTGCAGACTCATATGGCAACAGAATACTACTATAATTCATTTAGAGGAACCAGTACAAGCTGAGCCGGAGAAAAGGGAATCACAAAATGTATGTTTTTTTCTAGTATCACTCACCCATGCCCACATCTTCCCAGGAATGTTGGCACTCTGGATCTTGGAAAGGACAATCCCAGTGTTTTGGTCTGCTGACCAGCTTCTCCTTTTTCATAACTCTGCTTGAAGAAGGAGCGATGTTCTCTGGGCAGTGTCTGACATTATAGAGCTCAGCTCACTGACCCTGAAAACAGAAGAAACAGAAAGATGGGTAAATTCTGTAAGAGGTTAAGATACTTTTTGTCATTTAAGTATCGCATCATAGCAGTTATAAATGCCAAATTGAGGGCAGTAAGTAGCGTGGTGATTAAGATGCCAAACCCCTACATGGACTATTGCAATTCGAGTTCTGGGCCTGGTGGCTTGAAAATCATGCCGGGTGCATGTGCATGTGTGCATGCTCAAAATCTCAGGAGGAGAAGGGAGGAGAAGGGATTGAGGTGTGGCCATCCCTTCTGGGGAAGGGGGGTGAATTTTCACTTTCCCTCCCACTGTCTGTCTCTGTCTCTCTCCGGTGAGTGCACGTGCCTTATGGTAGAAACCTTAAAAAAAAAAAAAAAGCCACGTCCACGATCTCATGAGTGAATCCCATCTTTCATTCATTCATTTGTTCATGCAATCAGCATTTATGACACTGTCACTGTACATTAACTGAAATCTAAAAGTGCATAAAATATGGTCTTGTCCTCAAGGAGCCCGCAGTCCAGCAGTGTCACGTGACAGGTTTTCTGGTCCTATATGTAGTGGGTCTGGTGAGGGCGTGAAGGAAGAAAGCCAGCCTTGGGTGGCGTTGAGGATGGGTAGAGGTTGGCCAATATTCTTATCAGTGGTAGAGATAAGAGTGATCCTTCATTGTCTTTAATCTACAGTGTTCATTGTTTAATTTTTTTTTTCTACTCACTCACCCTCGCCACTTTACAATTTTCCTTATACTCAACCGGGATAGTATGTTGTTGCTTTATCATTTTAAATCCATAAAACATGCCTAATTCTGGCTCTCACCACTGGCTTGCAAAGGTCACTGCAGGCACATGGCTTACTTGTTTTCCAAAAAGGAGGAAAACTGGTGTTTTGGAAATGTGGCTTCTAAGTAGCTTAGATGCAAAGCCCAGGATTCCATTTTTCAGAACAAGAAAATTGACTGGGACTTCGGTGGGTTAGTGCTGGCTCATTTTCCCCTTCCCTTTGGCCATCTTGAAGCTGTGAGATTCACTTTTCAGATGGAGCATGTCTGTCTGTGTGTGTGTGTGTGTGTGTGTGTGTGTGTGTGTGTGTGTGTGTGTGTGGACTATGGCTAAAGTACATATTCTTGGAAAAACCCTGATATTTAAACCATGTGAGGTGTATGGAAACCTTTGTTGAGAATCGAATATCTAAGTCTTTGTAAAAGGAAAATGTTTTAGCTATCAAGAATGAAATATCAAAAGTAAGTGACTGTTTTAAAAGGGAGAGCAGAAAAATAAAGATCATACCCAGCACTTAGCAGAATCTTAGCAAACCGTTTAACGTACCTATCCAGCTGCCCTTGTGGGGAAGAGATACCTTCCTAGAACTGCTCTCCAAACCGTGGATAATTGGGAGTTGGTCTCCTTTTGCTTCTACTGGCATGGGAACAGCCTCCTGTAATTTTGGTTTGGTAAACACAGTACTTAGAATCTTGGCTAAGGCGGGGAAGGAATTTTCCCCTAAGGCACTTGTAGTGCCTGGGTAAAAGGACAGCCCATGACTCGCTTGCTCTGCCTAAACCCATGCATGGTTACCCCAGACTCTCTGCCCTGGATGGGGTGGAGAACCAGCTGGGAAAATTAGTGTGTTTCCAGCTTTCTGTACATTTTCCCTTTAGGTACTCACACCTTGAGGCATTTTAACTGCTCAAGGTGTCTGGGCTTATAAGGCAACCACTTAGAGCTGATTTGTCTATGGGGAGCCCATAAACTCCAGCACCAGGATCATTATATATATATATATATATCACACATACTTTTTCATTAATTCTTTACTGGGAGATATAGCACACATACAGACAGCTGTATAAAACAAATGGATAGTTTAATGAATTGTCATTAATGTATTTGCCACCCAGGCCAAGACATGGAACACCACTGGGATCCCAGAAGCTTTCTGAGTACCCTCCCAGTATAATCCCTTTCCTTCTCTATAGGGCAGTCCTGCCCTTATCTGCCTGCAAGGGGGACCCTATGTCAGGCCTTGAGCTTTCAGGCATCTGATTGTCCTCTAAGTCATGCACCTTTCAAGGGAAGAGGCCATGCCCATCTGGAACTCATAGCTCCTTTTTTTTTTTTTTTGAGAGGTTTTCGCTATAGGGCACGTGCGCTCGCCAGACAGACAGAGAGAGACAGAGAGACAGAAAGCGAGAAATCACCCCCCAGGGGGGATGGCCACGCCACAGTCCCTTCTCCTCCATTCTCCTCTCGGGATCCTGGGCACGCATGCACATGCGCCCGGCGTAAGTTTAAGCCACTGGGTCTGGGACTCTAACTGCAGTCGACTACGTGGGATTTTAGCGACATAGCCATTACGCTAACTGCTGGTCCCCACATAGCTCCTTTTGTAGACCATGAGCCAAGTCCTGGGACATTGGGACTCCATGTCCAGATCATTCAAAGCCCACCTCCAGGTTTTCATGGGCCCACCTTCCTGAGAGGTGGCCTGGGAGCAGGTATTTGTAGATGGCTATGGGGGAAGGCTAGACATGAAGCCTGAGAACTATGCTTCTAGATGCGTATCTGTTGGTGTTGTGCATGTACCTACAAACAGAATTGCATATTTACAATAGGATAATGACTATTGCATATCTCCAACATTAGTGAAAAAAATCAATTTTCCATAATAGTTGTACCAATTTATGTTCTCACAATTATGGTATGGTTACCATGGCTTCTGATGATGTTTGATACTTATTTTTAGTTTTAACCACTCTGTAAAGGAAAAATTTTAGTATGCCATCATGCTTCTAAATAATTTCTGTGCTATTTTTCTCATTATTTGTATATACAGATACTAAAGTGATGACTATAACCTGGAATTCCAGGTTGACTGCTAAGAATATTAGTAGTAAATAATATTAATAATAATAATAATTTTTATAATAATGTCTGTGGTTTTTACTTAAAATATGGCAGGGAAGGGGAGATTTGTAACCCTGGAAGATTTATAGTAATAAAGTCTAAGATCTAAGCAAGATTGTTCCACATGTAGCATTTTAAAAAATTGTTTAATTTTATCAAATATTATTATTTAATTTGCAATAGGGCATGTGTGCTCAACAGAGAGTGAGCGAGAAAGTGAGAAAGGAAGCCCTCAGGTCTGGGACTCCAGCTGCACTCAGCCATGCGGGAGTCCTGCACCTTAACCACCACACCACCTCCTGGTACTCCCACATGTAGAATTTTAAAATAACACAGAGATTAGCAGACTGGCCTGGGGATAAACCAACATGGCAGCTTCATATACAATTGGTATGACCTCATCCTCTCATAGACACGTGGTTCTCAGAGCATGCTGTGATGGTCGTGGTGGCCCTGGGTCCACATGGCTGGATTACCCAGCTGGGACCAGTCAAGACCACTGCAGAGGAAGAAGGTCAACCGAAGGAGCCATCCACTTGGAGCTCATTAGCATGCCACATCTGGCAACATCTGTTCCTCCAGGAGGCAGCAATATTCATGTGCTCTGGTGGTCATCGCAAAGCAAGGGCCACCAGGAAACCTCTGCAGCAGAAATAAGCACAGCCTCCTCACATGCCCACTTCCCTCCCCATCTACTTAAGTCCCGTGCTTCCTCGCACCACCTTCCTCTTGCCAGTATGCTCCACCTCCTTGCCCTTTGTCCTTTTAATGCATTCGCCTGGCCAAAGCTCAGCCTTGGATGAACGCAACTGTTTACATTTGCTACATCAATCGCCCAGCTGTTGAGCATTGCTGGAAAAAGCACACACCCCACAGATGGTGCCATTATAAACTCATGTCACCAGCATCATCCAGGCCTTATTCACTGTCAGGCAGCCCTCTTCTATTTCCCTGGCCAGCTCATCCTTCTTTCTCTTACTCTTTTTTGTTTTTTTAAATTAAAATGATAATAGACCCTCTCCAGTTATGATGCATTGGGTATTTACTCTGGGCACAGCAGGCTGTTGTAATTTATGAACAGTGGCTACTTCAACCTTTCTCCACTCTACTCCTAGTCTCTGATTATTGCCTGGCCCTCTTCTGAGCCCTAATTCACACATCCCACCATGAGTCTTAGCAGGCAGTTCCCCTCCTGCATCATGAAGAAAGCAGGGACCATATGAAGTGAACTCCCTCAACTCCTTCCTCATCTATAGATTCGCTTTCCATCTACAGTCATCTTTTCTCCTCTCTTCTGCCTCATGACAGTAAAGGCTGATCGGTAGGTGGATAAATGGACAGAGAATGGGGAGGAGCCTCAAGAAGCCATATTTCTGCCGTCACTGCAAAGTAATTTCTCCGAGACTTTTGACCTCTCATTTAATATTGGGGTCTTAATTTCCTCATTTGTGATATGAAGAGTTGACATACCATTTTTGTGAAGAACAATCGTAAGTTCCATGGGAGAGAAAGGCAGAAGAATGAGAGAGTTTAAAGAGGGGCTCTGAGTTTTCCACCACTCTTCTAACTAACGTAACTCATTTTAACTATTTTATATTCTGGAAATTATTTAACTGTTAAAATTTTGAAAATGTTTTACAACCTTGGTAATTGTTTTTTAAAACTGTTTCATTGTTTAAAAACTAAAATGAAAAATTTAAATTGGGGAGGCAATTTCTGAGAGCCTTTCTAACTGCAATAGACTATGATTACAAGGAGTTTTTACAAGTTAAAGCATATGGGTTTGATGAACATATAGCACAAATTTTTCTCAAATAAAACCTGATTTAATAAAATTTATTTCTTTCCAGTAAAGGAAATTTGTTATAGGACTTACTAACACAATTTAATTTGTAAGTATTTAAAGACATTCATATAAAACACACATTAGAAAGGCAGTCTTTTGTTGAACCATATGTTGGGATTTGGGGTCCACTTAGGGCTGTGAGTCCCTTGAGCAAGCAGGAACTCTGCTTAATGGGACCCTCAGACAATAAATCCTCAAGGATAATAACTGTGGCTTCGTTTCCCCCGGACCCAGCTCACACCTGGTACG